CACTCGCTTGGATTCGCTCTGGGATAATTAGATTTATGCCCCTAGTTGTGTCCCACTCGGCTGTTTTAGCCCTAATTTCCAAAAGTCACCGGTTCTGTCCAAGTCGCTTCGCTCCTCTTATTCTTTTGCTCTTTGACCGTTTGACCGTCAATTTGAAAACTTCATAACTAATTCATACTAAATCAGAAAAATGCAAATAAGATACCAAAATGTTCGAAAAAACATCACCTATATGTCAGTGTCATTTGCATTCATGAAAAAAGTGTTGGAAAGTGCCCATCCGAGTTTTTGCTCTTATGCTACCACCATGAATAGGAAAATCTAAAAAAAATCAAAATAAAATTGGTGGAAAAGAATGACAAATGTTTTAAGTGCTTGCCAAGTTTCATCAGAGAATGACATTCGTGGGTGCCACGGCAAAGAAAACAATCAACACTCCAAAATAGATTATTCTTTTGCCACAACTTCCACGAATGTTGTTCCCTGATGAAACTTGGCAAGCACCTAGAAAATTTGTCGTTCTTTGCCACCATATTTGTTTTTGATTTTTTTGATTTTTTTTTGATTTTTTTAGATTTTATTATTCATGGTGGTATCAAAATAGCTAAAACTCGGATGTGCACTTTCCAACACTTTTTTCATGAATGAAAATAACACTAACATATAGGTGATGTTTTTCTGAACATTTTGGTATCTTATTTGCATTTTTCTGATTTAGTATGAATTAGTTATGAAGTTTTCAAACTGACAGTCAAACGGTCAAAGGGCAAAGGCATAAGAGAAGCAAAGTGACTTGGACAGAGCCGGTGACTTTTGGAAATTAGGGGTAAAACATACGAGTGGGACACAACTAGGGGCATAAATCTAATTATCCCATTCGCTCCCATGCGAACCCTGCAATAAAAGCAGACCCATCAAAAGTCCCAAAATGCCTTTTTCAGGGAAACGTCAACAAAGGAGGTGCACAAGACAGAGCATCAGTTTGTAGTTTACTATTGACGTGGATTTGTGACACTACACCATCCGAGCGAACACTGATTTATTTGCAGCCAAGCCGATGCACGGGCACGAGCTAGAGTTTTCTTTGCCTCAGAAGAGCGCACACCAAGGGAAAAATATGGCCCAAATCAACAGCATTATTGATCGTGATTCTTTTTTGGAGAAATCCAGAATGGAGAGCACTTACAACCCTCTAACTCTCATCGGCGACATCCGTCCCATCGTCACACACATGGTTTTCCCAACAGATTATGCTGGATTACACTTTCAGGGGGAAACTACATTTTATTTTCTTGGTAGTTATGCAGATGAAGGGAATTTCTAGCTACTCATGCTTAACCTGATAAAACGACCAGTCGGAACAAATCGATCCGCTACTTAATTTCTGTAGCCCACATGAACCACTCATCTAGCGCCTCGGTCAGCAAAAGAACCTACTGCTATCGCCACCCCCAGCCCAGGCCACCACCCCAAACGAACAATTTTTCATCCATATACAGAACTAAACGCAATTTCTGATAGTCAGCAGCAAATGCCAGACCATGTAAAATAGACACGCAAAATACCTTTTAATCCACTGAGGCGTTTTTGGATCTCCGCAGAGCGCCGTCTCTACTGTCCTCGGCCCCACTGTTGACGATCGGCAACCTGCACGCGAAAGCAAACACCGAAAAGAGCACATCCGGCTCACGAACGGGGGTGTATGTTCATGCCCAGCGCATAGAACCTAGTCCCTCCGCCGCCAACGCACGATGGGTGCTGGGTGGCAAAGGACGGGGGCGCCAGCGGAAGTAATGTTTTGAGGACAGCGAGAGACAAACCTGCAATCGCCGGGGCACACCCATGGCGGTTGCCATCACCGATCCAATCGCCTCCCCTCCATCCCCTAGGGTCCGGAGAAATTTCAGGTGAAGCCCTAGGGTCCCTCCCTGGATTTTACACACACACCGCCCTTTTGTTTTTAATCATTTTTTCCTGTTTAGGCGGTCTCGCAGGGAAAATCCTCGAACATGGTCCAGCTAGACTTACGATCCTGGACTAGCGGCCCTTGTCCGATAGGGCCAGTCACCTGCATGCTGGCCCACTGCTGTCGGCTGTACGTGTATTTGTATGTATCGACCGCTTCCTACGTCCTTCGCGTACGTCGCCAGTGGGAATACTTTGTTTTTCACAGCTCGCACACTACCCCATTCAATGCTCAAGCACCTACCGATCAAGCCAATTCGACAGCCCAGATATAGTAATATATGTATGTATGAGCCATATCGCATCATTTTCATGCCAATTTCAGCTCAGTTGGCCAACCTTTGCCATACATTATGTTCGTTGCCCAAAACTACTCTCCGTTCCATGGCAACGGAGGTACACAAGGATGTATACAGGTCAGGCCCTCTGCGGTTGAGGTCATACCCTACTTCCTGTCTGTGATGTTGTTCTCTTGCGTAAGGTGTGATTAAGAATGTTGCAAACCCTCGACCAGGTGCTCTAGGACGCTTATATAGAGTGCGCCAACATTAAAGCTACAATGGCTGGTCATAAATGTTTTGTGTAACGGCATATTAAAAACCGGCAATTTCTTGCCATTAGTGATAGTAACCGAAATATTAACCAACTAGTGGAGGCGGCTTATAATGTCTGTGTTTAATGCCTAGTGGAACATCCACACGCAACGCCTCCTTCATTGCTCCTGACCGTTGGCCTGCTGTAAAACCAACGGCTGATAAACCTACTGACGAGAGTCCTGATTGACGGGCAATCAGGCTAGCGATTGTTTTCGGACTGGTGTCCACTTCGACTAGGACACGCCAGCCCCCTGTTGTTGTTCTTGACTTGGCCCTTAGCATACATGGGCTTGATCCTACATTGGCCTTTAGTTTGGCCTCCCCAATGGTGAATTACCTCATCAGGTTGATTGGCACAATCCTAACTAATTACTCATAACTTATATGATAATATTGGAGACTAAGAATTTAGTTTTAGAATTCTTTTTGTTGTGCTGCATGGAACTTTTTTTTATAATCCACTGCCGAAAACATCGACAATAATAGAACAATTTGTTGTGGATATGAATTATCATATTAAATCCACTGAAATGCAATCAAGCCTACAACTTACGTGCTTTTATTAAATTATTTATCTAGTTAGAGCTGTGGTTGTTGAACTCAATAAACTCTCCACTACACGCACTACTTTTGTTAGCAATGATATGCCATAATAATGACACACTTGTGTATACACATAATTACTTAATTATTTCTCACACAATATTTCTCAAGTTTGTAGAATATATTGTACTTCCCTTTTTATGAAGAAATTTATGCAATGATATCCCCTTGGAACAAAATAATATCTCACCATACAATTGTGATGGAGATAGACTTATTTTCCCAAAAAAATGTGACATGAGTTGTTCAGATTGCTCCACAAAAGGAATAAGAATAAGATGGCCAAGAGAACAAGGCTGGTCAGTGTAGAGGGGCCAATGCTAAAACTATTTCTAGTAGTGATTCAGATATGTATGGTTGGGCAATACAAGCACCTATTCCCTATGTGGGCAGGGCCGGCCCTGTGTTTCAAGAGGCCCTAGGCGAACTCGAGGACATGGGCCCTTATGTCCTAATACCATATATATGTATGCGTGTACGTGCTATATAAACTATATATAACTTAGTAAGAGTAACTTTCAACCACACATCTTTAGTTTAAAATTTGACTATAATAATTCAATTGACTCCATCGACAACAATAATAACCAAATTCAAACTAACTCCATCGACAACAATAATACTAAAAAGATAATTAAACATTAAACTCGTTGGACAATGCCGATAACTTTACACCCATGAACTTTTCTTGAACACATATTACCGCTGAAAGCTAGCAGCAAGGCTAACTATTATATAAAGAAGACACTAGTTCGGCCGCCCTCTATCCTTGTGTTGGAAGCCTTGCGTGTATATATTATATATCGCATCGCCATCACCATGTAATGTTATTTTTATGTTGTTTCAGCAAGATGCTTTATGGAAATCATGTGTAGGCCTGTTCTATACTGGGCGATAACATAGATTTTTTATCTATTGTTTAGCTAAATAAGAATCGATGGAATATTGTCTATATCATTGTTCACATTCACCAACAACATACCTATGTATCTCATCTTGGATGCATTTTTTTTTTTGAGAATCTCTTGGCTGTATTGTATGTCCTGACATATACTATATCAATTGTATGATTATTAACGGGAGCTCTCCCCAGCCAAAAAATTCTCATCGACGGCAAATTCCATCTTTAGCTTCTCCTCTCTGAAATAATCGGAGTTGAAATCTATTCGGCAGGAGAGCCTCTGGTTGGGGTTGCTTGAGTCGGCCACAAACACATATAACACTGATGGCACATTCAGCTGGTCAGATATTTAGTCCCATTTAAGCAAGTCTTGCCGTCGCAGCCGAGCTCGGGAGACAAGCGCTGCGAACTGGTACACACGATATCACTTGGCGGTGACAGTTTTGCTGTAAACCACTCAAACTCCAACTCTCCAGCTTCTGCGAGTTCCTCGAGGGCAGCTTCCCCAACTCCTGAAATTTTACACTCCGTCCATCATGGCAGCCAGGAGTTCAACTCCAAGAGTTTTCGCGTTTAGCGTTGCTCCGGGCACAGAGTTGGCGGAGCTCGGAGCCAGATCGTTGCCAAACGCACCTTAAGATACGTGTAATCTGTAAATCATCTCATATTCTACATGTGCCTAAATATTTGTTTGCAGAAAAAGGGAAGATAGGGGTGCCGTGTTAGTTTAATCACATGTCATTCTTGCAGTTTATTGTAAAGTAAGAAATGATATGCACTTGCATAACACGAATTGATACATTATTTCTTGGACTAGAGTAACTCAAATTCGACAGAAATGATGAACATAACATATGACTAAGAAAACCAGTAGAAAAACAATGGAAAGGTGTGATGTATCAGTCGCCACACTACGACGAGCTAGACCCCACATACTAGATCTTTGGGAACTTACAAACGCTCTCTAAAATCTCCAATGCTGTACTAGAACTCTTTCTCTTGAGGTTTTCATAGTCTTGGCTCGCCATTACTTCACCAAGTATTGTTGGAGATGCCATACACTGATGTTGATCAGCTAGCGCATATGTAGTTGCCACTGTTTGTACATCAAGACAGCTGCAAAGAGTAGCCTCACATATGAGCTTCAACTTTTCAATTGTGTAGCGATCAGCAGCCTCGAGTAAGTGGCGTACAATCTCTTTTCTGTCCTCGTCATCAAAACCGTCAAAAGGAAGCACCAAGCAGTCTGTGTACACAAAATGTATGAGAGCCCTAAAAACGTCAGGTAACATATCTTCCACGATTACGGATGGCCCGTCTTTCTCCATCATTGGTCCACAGAGCTGCGCCCTAAACACCGGTGACCTTGCAGCGAGCACTACCCTATGTGCAGGAAATGCTTCACCTTGGACGCAGAAGGTCATGTCCGCCCATTCTTTTGACTCTAGAAGATCTGCAAAATCAGTTGACAGTTCTGGTGGTGGCAGCTTCACTTGGGGTGATAATAAGTCACTGCAAGTCACCAGTGGATCTTTCATAACAGTGATGGAAAATTCAATCAAGAAGCGGTCAAATTCCACATATTCTGCTTCAAGCAAAGTTTTCCCCATGACCTTCTCCCACCCTCCCATCCTATATTTTCCTTCTGCACTAGATAAGTTTAACACTCCGGTTTGAGTCCACTCTGTGCATTGTCCTCCTGGGGAGATCAAACGATAGCAAAATATTGCACTGACTTCTGCATTTTCGCTCATAAGCTCACCAAGAATAGAGATGTGGTTTTGGCTTTCAGCATTGATTCCTTGTGGGTAGAATCTAACTGACCAGTCATACCCACCAACTTGGAAGGCATGGGACCTTAGAAAATTGCCCAATCCAGTTTCCTTGATGAAACTATAGTTAGTAACCGCGAAGATGCAGGTCGAGTCTGCAGTTGCGAAGTCCATGTGCAATACAAGTGCCTGCAATTCCACACAAGATCTAATTAGCACACATATATGCTTCATTATTTCACAATAACAGAAATGTATGTACCAGTCCAAAGTTGTGACTCAATTATTGTAGGATGAACTGTCAATACACTACTCGGCCTGGACACAAGTTATGGACCAAACTCACCTTCCCGCAGCAAACAAGAGTTGCATCACAGGGTAGCATTATCTCTCTTTTCCTCTGGCTTTCACACAAAAAAGAGCTCCACCCGAATGTTTTGACTCCTAACATCAGAGGAAACGAACGTTGTTCCTCTGGTCTGCTATGGCGCTCCTCTCAATTAATTACTACAAACAAAATGGCACCGCAAGAAGACCAATTCCAACTGAACAGCCATTCGTACATTTTTTCCATTGGTAAAACTCCATGCATCTTTTTATTTTCGTGGAAAACTCCATGAATGTCCTTATAAACTGTACTTATACTACTTCTCACATAAAAAAACAAATCTATACGAACCATGCATGCATCTACCTTTGTAATACTACTACTAGTCTCTACTGTCTACTGCTACTACCAGCTATGGATTGAATAACGGACCTTGGAGTTCAAGAGCGCAGTGGAATGACGACCAACGGTAGAAGAGATCCCAAAGCAAAATCCTGGCCGGCAGGCTTTCGAAGATTGGTAGAGATAAATGGAATCTCGTTGCTCACAAGGTAGCCAACTTAGCGAGAGAGATCAGTATTTCTCGCTCTGGGTAGTTTGTTCCTGCTAATGTGCGTGGTTGTGTTTTAAAGGATTGAAAACTTGCCTTCTCGTGATAATAGTTGCGCGCTATCTATTGCAATCGGCAAATATTTAGACAATTTTAACGCCAGGCCAAACAATCCCATTACAATTAATACAATAAATGACCACTTATCTGTACATAAATATTCTGACAAAATTAACTGGCGACCATATATCTCCTGCGATATGTTCCGTAAATGCACAAAATCCTCACCAGTTTCTAGCAACTACTTCCTCTGTCTGGATTTATTAGCCTCCCTTGTATTACAGGTCAAACTTTGACCAAAATTGTAACTAGGGAGTGGTTTTTATAAACATAGACGCATTGCACCCACTTATCTATACCCTCCAACATTGCTTTGAAAAACTCTTCTTTTTGCACCTCGCAAATGATGAACATATGGACTGCAAACTTCACAGTTAATATAATTTTAGAACTTCATTGTTGGAAAGAATGTTTGGATTGTTTCTTGGGTCCAATCTATATATACAAAATGAGATTTTTTTTGTAAAGAAATACTACTCCTACCTCTGTAACAAAATATAAGTCAGTTTTGTAGGCTAAACTCGGTAATTGCCTTTGGCTTCTAGGTGCATATGCACCCATTGTCGAAATCCAAATTCCGAGAAGTTAAAAAATTTGAAACAAAAATCCCGCGTGTATATCCGGACATTTTATGTGCGTTCACAAGGTTTCGGTGAAAAACGACGTTTTTTGTGGCTTGTGTAAAAAAGATAAAGAAATGCCTCGTGAATAGTTAGAATGAAGCATCAGAAATTGTCTTTTTTACACAAGCCACA